TATCCGAATTCTAAATTTTGCGAAGAAATTGTACACACGTAATCTGAAAGGATAAAATGTGGGAATTTATTTTCAGAACTATTAATTTCTACATTAAAATAACGAAACTTATGATACGGAATGAAGCTGGAATAATTCATGTGCTGAGTTTCTTTTTTCAGTATCTCAATTTAGTAACAAATTATTTTCGAGCTGTTCTCCCCTACTTTCTTAAAGAAAAAACAAAGAAACTTCAAAATTAATGAGGAATGTTTATTATAATTCGAAAGAACATTATTTGGCATTTATTTTTTTGAGATTATATCTTTAAAATGTTGAACGCGGCTATCTCTCATCCGTTCAGTACAATTTCGATTGCTGGTTCGAAGATTTCCACTAGTAACTGGCAAATGTCACTCGAGATGTTACGCTTGAAGGCCTGAATCGAATCGGGATTATTTGCATAGACTTTCGACTTTAATTATCCCCACAAGAAAAAGTCTAACGGAGTGATATCACGCGAACTTGGTGGTTAATCGACCAGCTTAAAACGTAAATTTATCTGCTCATCAAAGTGTTCTCTCAATAAATCCATTGATTGATGCGATGTGCGAAAAGTGGGTCCAACTTTTCTTAGAACTTTTGAAAAGCACGTAGAGCGAAGTGATGTTGCTTGGGAAGATCAACCGTTGCTGCGAACGGCAACGAATCTACCCTCCACGATCTTCGTGTACACTCTCAGCTACAACTGCTATATTTTGTTCACTGCGTGTTGGACGTGGTAAGTCCGGTCGAATATCATCCAAAAATGAATGGTGGGTCTCAGGATGGGTGATGATATTCTGAATGCTACGCTCAGTAGGCCGATTTTGTTGACCATAAGTTGAGCGAAGCGCGCGAAACACTTTATTTACAGAACATAAAGTTGAGCGATTTGGAAAAGTTATTTAGGCGTAAGCCTTTCCAGGGTTAAATGCCAAATCATAATGAACAAAAATAACATGATAGCTTGACATGACTCACGCGTGATCTGTCAAAAAACAGCTATTGAAAAATGTACCCCTACTCGGATCACATATGGTCCGGTTATTCGAGATGAGGTTAGTAATGGACGCTGAACTCTTTATGTATGTATGGTATTATATATACTGTCTTGAACGAATCAACCAATTTTACTTGCGAGATACCACAACTTCAAGATACCATTAGTGCAAAGTTTTAGTGGTCAGTGAAATATGTCAATTTTTCGTATTACAGTTGTAGTTACTGTGTGGAGGATTGATATCTTGCACCAGTAGCAATTTACAGTTCGATTGAGAGCATTTTTGGGGCATAGCATGATCTAATTTTCTACATCTGCAATACCAATCATCTCAGAGTGGCAGGGAACATGAGGTCTAATTTTCATTCTGATATTTTTGCTCAAGGATGGCAAGACCGATATTCGAAATATTACTTCTCTCGCCATCGTGCACGTTTTTCGCTTTATTTCAGGTCTTCTAAACAACAAAACCTCTATAATATGTACAACATATTGCGAGGATATAATGAACACACATGGTTTTGGGCGGAGTTAGAAGGAGGCAAGTAGCAAGACAAAATAATTAAAAAGAAGGCTGTGGTCATATCATCTATGAAGGTTTGTTTCTGTAAAAATATCTGGGTTAAGAAAGCTTTTATTCATAGCAGTATGTTCATTACAACATCGAACTTTCACAATAAAAAGTACCTTCTTTAAAAATATGCGATCCTTTCTTACCGCTGTTAGCAACATCTGTTATCACAAGTGGAAGAAATCTTTGTAAAATAAAATTTTCACCAGCGAATATTTGAATATAAAAGTTTCAGTATGTCAGTATGTCAGTACACCAAAGTTTTAAGCATATATTCTTACAAATTATTACAGATTCAGTTTTCTAAAAGATTAGAGGGCTTCTATGCTGATAACTGTGTTTACTAGGTATAAAAGAGAAAAAATTTCGAAGTTTGAACTTAACTATTTTCCAGTTTATAATATTAAGAAAGTTAATTTTATTCGAAACAAAAAAATAAATCAATTAAAACTATATTAATTATGCAGATAAATTTCAAAAAAAAAAAAATTACACGAAAAGTAAAACTTATGTAAAAAATTAAGTAATTCAAGCATATACTTTCATGCTCTTTGGTAACACCATGCAGCAAATACTTTACAAATTGACTCAGCCAATTAACAAGTTACACTCCCAACGCCAGCGAGCTGACCACGACGAGTGCTCTATGAGTGAACTCAACAAAATGTAACGCTCTTGAGTCGAATAGCCAGTGCCATTCTCTACTTTTGCTAGTGAATACTAACTTAAATGAATTTCGAGCGTTGCGCATGCGCACCGCAACGGCGCCAAAACCAAAGCGCAGTGCAATCGAAGAGCGAGTTTCAAATTCTGGTATTTTTGGGAGAATTATTTTTTACTGTTGCAGTCTTTTTCTTATATTTTCACGGCTTATTGACACTCTTTTTACACCGCTTCACTGCTCTTCGCTTAGCTAGGTTTCGATTCGACTATGATCTGCTTGCAAATCGCTTGCAATTGTCTGCACCGAAACTACCCGAACCAACCAAACATGCAAGCGCGTTTGCGTATCCACCCATGGTTAGTTACGTTGGCGTTACTCTTTGGCACATTCGTGCGCCTCTTGGACGCTTTTGCAGCGTCAACGTAAAGCACTAAAACTGCGCCAGCTACTGCCAGCCACCAATAATCAAAAACAGGCTGCCAATTGCCAACCAACACCAGCTACCAATGTAAACGGCCATCGATACACACACACACACCCAACAGCACATGAACATACATCGTTCATATGTGTGTACCGAAAACGCTTCGCATTGTAAACAGACATACACGCACACACACACAATGAGTTTAGCTTGCATTGCTTCGGCTCTTGGCCGACTAACTTGCCTTCAAGGTGTGAACTGTTGTTGTTGTGCATGATGTTTGGGGGCTGTTGTAAGCGATTTTTGGCCACTGCTAAATCACCGAAGTCGCTTTCGTCTGCAGTCATTTGCTTAAAGTTAGTGAACGCGCTAATATCGTGTGCGTCCTGTTATAACGCTAGTGTTGCCGTAGCTGTCCGTTGTGCCGACGAGTTGAGTGTGCTTCGATTTTGTGGTACGAGTTCATCAGTTCATCATACAAACATTTCATTTTGCTTTCAAATCACATTTTTTTCCATTTGATTTTTCTATAATCTGGAATGCTGTTCATATTGGAATTGTAGTTTGTAATAATTAATTTCTTTTGTATACGAAAATGATAAGGCTTCTGAGGAGCTATAATAGTTATTGTAAATGATTATTTGTCTGCGCATAATTTTGGGCTGGTTTTTCTGGTGAAGTGTAGAGCTTGAAAATGGTGTTACATAAAAAGTGAAGGTGGTGAATGTTGTAGAACTATATTTTATGTTATTGTCAGTAATATTATATCTTTATTAAAGAGTATTTAAGAATAATTTTTGTTTTGAATATTTAATTATACCAGCATGTGTTTGCTCGTATTATTCTAATTCTTATGAATATCTCGCCTTTGTCTTATGTTTTAAGTAGTGAACTTGAGTTTTAATTATAAAAACTATTAACTTCGCGATTGTTTGGAATAAGTTAAATAGTAAGCATTGTTTTAGTTGATTCGACATTGTTTTTAAGTAATGGTATGGTTCTCACCGTATACTAATCCTTTATCTATATTCTTTGAAAGGGGGTAGTGCTTAAAAGGACGTTCTATAATAAATATAACGAAGGTTTACGCAATTTTCTTTCTAAAAAAAAAGCATTTAATAAAGCTTAGATTCCAAGAAATACATTTTAGAGACCTTAGACCCGGATCAATGTCGATTGCTTAAAGTATTAATAAAGCTTACATAAAAACTTTTTCTGATTCTGATTAACCGCTATTAAACACTTCTTCAGCCATTTGCTTTTGGAGTTTATACTCCAAAAGACAAGTTTTAGAGTTCTTGGAATCATAATAATTGAAGATAAAAGCTTAAACTTATAACTGGGTCAATGTTGATTGCTTTATGTATTGTATAAGCTTATGTAAAAGCTTTTTCTGATTCTAAATAAAGACTTTAAACACTTTACACCCATTTGCTTTACGCATTTTAACCTTAAAGTGTAAACAGATCCATAATAGATTCAATGCCTTTCAAGGAAATTAAGAGATATCCTCCATTATTTGTGATATTTTTTGCCAAGAGTAACAGAATCTGATCACTCTTCAAAGTCCTCATATATTTTTCATAGCTTAAAATACTCAAAAAGTCGATTTAAGTTCATGAAAAAATTTTAATTATTCTTCTTAACTTCTTCAAAACTCAACTCCGCATTTTATCTTACATAATAACTAAAATCAACGATGTAAAACTGCTATGAAATAACGATAGAGACTAGGTTCAGTAGTAGTAGAAAACGAAACATACTTATAGTAATCTAAATCGACTTAAAACACTATCACATATTAATCAAAAATATATGTATTGCTAAAAATGTAAAAATTTTTAATTGGATCCCCTGAAAAAACTTATATTTTTCTAAATCATAAATGGCAAAATAACGTAACATCACTTTTCATTCGTTTACAGACGAAGGAAAAAGGTTATAATAAAAACAGCTCATATTGCAAAAAAAAAAAAAATTATTTTGGGTATAAAGTGCTTATATATTGGTTACTTATTGCTTATAAAATGGTTATTTATTAGTTATTTATTGGTTATATATTGGTTATATCTGACAGCGGAAGCTAAAAATTTTATGCTAATAAATGACAAGATGTAGTGAATCGTAAGCAGTAAGAAACAGAATTTATCGTTTTGCAGATACATTGTTTTGAATTTTAGGCGACAATATATCAATGTATACTATATATACTAGTTATGAACGCTTGCATGTACATGTGCCTTAAACTGTTATTAAAATCTATGCAAAAACCTCAATAAAACCAAACACAATTTTTAAACATTCTTATCTCATTTTTCAGATTCTCTTCAACTCTCTACCTACTCCTGCATAAACACATACACAGCTCCGAAATAATAACATCTAGTAAACCAAACATAAACAGCCAGAAACATGCAGTCACTACGGTGCAGTTTGGTTATTTTCCTCGTCTTTATCATTTGTCAGTCGTGTCTGGCGGGGCCTGCCTTGCGCGTCAAACGTCAACGAGATGATCTGCTCTCACTGGAGGCGGATAGTGCGGATGCTATCAATAGCGATTTGAATCCTATCAATGCAGAGGTAATATACGTTTAGATATAAGAAAATTAAGTGGCGAAAAATATGTTGAAATACCAAATTTGTTATGCAGCAACGTCAACGTGCAACAAGATTGCCCCGTGGCACGAGCCGCATGCTGCATATAACCAACTGACCATATTTTCGTTGACTGCCACAACTGGTTTTTCGACAGTTTGCTCTTTAGCTATTCGTTTTGTCTGTAAGCAAGTGCATACGTTTTATGGGTTATTTGGGTGAATGGTTTTGTCTTTGTCCGTGTTGGCGACGTCATCGCATATGTTTGATTGTAAAAGAAGGAAATGCTCAGCTCGTGGTTTACTGCTAACAAACAGTTACAATTGCCAATACAAATTTACCTTGCGTACATACATATTTACATACGTGCAGGCACTGTGTGGCACTCATTATTTGCACTGCAGGAAGTAAAAATCTTTAATTTACATTGTTATAGTGTTTAGTGCAGTGCCGTTATTTTATATTCATGCTTTTTCTGCGATTTCGTGAAAGGAGTGGCATTTTTACTTTCTTTCACTTTTTGTTGATTACCGAAAATTGGATAATTTTTTACTCTTTAATTTGGTAGTGTACAATTTATTATTTATTTTTTTTGTTCAGAAAAATTTATAAATTAATGTTGAATTTAATCAGCAATTTTGCACATGATATTTTTTATGTTAGTGAAAAGTTCTTGAAAAATTTGTATCAGCAATTTTTTGCATGATTAAGATAAACTTAAAAAAGATTTGTACCAATAGTTTCAAAGCCTTTGAAGGTAGGCATTCGGAGAACACCACGTCTTGATAATCGAAGAAAATTGTTCACATAACCTTGATTTTTTACATACGACAGTTGCCACGATATTCCGTCGAGTGAATTTTTTTTTCTGAGTCGTTAGCACAGATCCAACACTCATCGCCACGTTTTATGACATCCTGGTAGTCGGAAAGCATTGCTTCACGCTATTCTTTCGAAAAAATGTAGTGATCTTAAAATCGTGCACTTTTTCTAGGCCCAAATGATCTTTCAGATCCTTTCGATGTTCCAACGATGCCAGTTAATTTTCGATTCTCAAGCTTCAATTCCTTTATTTTATTGACGTGCTGTCATTTGTTAAAGATGGCCGTCCGGGACGTGATTCATCGTCAATGTCTTCTCGACCCTCTTTGAATAATTTGTGCCAATCAAAAACACTTGCTCGTGACAAACAATTATCATCGAAGGCCTTTTGAAACATTCTGAACGTTTCGGCACTAGAAATTTGATTCCGCACACAAAATTTAATGGAAATTTTTCACTTCACACAACATGAAAATCGCCGAGTGTACTTTATGTACTTCAAAAAGGCAAACCTACACTAAATACTAACCTATAAACAAATATTTCCACGAATGGGTCTTAATATTTTTTACCGTAATCGCACGGTGCTATTTCTGGTAAATAAGGAGGCTGGACAAAGTTACAGTATTGCTTTTAGGCAAGACTCTCGAAAATTTCATTGATCCAAACGAGAACTGCCAAGACCATAAAAACACGTCTAATCTTAACTAACTAGACAAAGAAAGCAATCAAGGAAAACAGCTGAAACTTGTATTATGTTTCGGAATAAATTCCTATCGACATTAGATAGAAGAGACTGTAAGAACATGATCGGAATACTAACTGGTCCCTGTTTGGTGGCGACACACGTCCGCTGAATGTGGCTGACAAATCGAGAAGGTGGCAGGTAATGTCTAGAGCAGAGTACCAAGGAAACAATGGAGCATCGTTTGTGCACTTGTTCCTCGTTGGCAAGACTACGATGTAAGTCCCATACTATGAACTACTGGAAAAGGTATCGATATAGTATAGTAAAACATTATACTCATTATCAGAACACATTATATGAGAATCTTCCATAACCTTGTGCTCACTTTTCAGTAGTGCAATTACAAGTTCAAAGTTTTGCGAAGCTCTGTGGTCTTTTGTGATTCTATTAGCGAACAAAATATACAATTTGGCTTCTTAAAACTTATCCATATACATTTTTCATGCATCTTTGTTTCTTTGTAAGAAAAGGCACATTTTATTAGACGTTTTAGATTTTATTATTCAACATAAATCGAGTTATAGTTTATAGTTTTCAATACCACTTTGCTAATATATTTCAAAATAGTTCCCTTATTACCAGCTGCCTCTTCCTTGCCGTTAATTCCTTCTCTAACGAGTATATTTCATAAAATGTGTGAAACAGATATAACAGCTGTATTCTCCACTAAGAAATACTGCGAATTATTTATCGCCGTTCCTATTGGTTTATGGTATGGTGCATTGCTTATAATATGAATTTGTGCGCCATCAGTTTTGCAGTGATCCTTCCTACATACAAGGATTCATGACCGATATATACTAAATCTTCTTTTGACAACTACAGATTGTCAAACGAAGCCAATAAAATCTTATTCTAAGGACATCCAAAGTTATAAAATGCAGTGCTTTTTAATCTGTAATAACCAATTTTTTACATCCACTGGGCTCATAAGCTTGGATGCTCATATTTTTGTACTAAATTCAGTCTAACAAACGGTTTTTAAAATTCATTACTCCAAATGTTGTTTCACATGAAGCGTTTGATCGACAATTGAGAAATTTGTGCAAATGACTTTTTGGAAAGTTAGACCTTACTATAGTACAAAACATAAGCACATGCATTCTACTGTAGATGTTGTCTCTCAAAGAAATTTTACGCACATTTCAGCCTACCTAGTCAGTATATCGTCACTTAACATGCAAAATAATTTATCATCAAAATAACCGAAATTGAGTTTTTTTTATTATTTACGACTCACTACACCATGTTACATATATGGAGCATTAAATTTTCAGCTTCCGATGTTCGATATAACCAATATATAACCATTTTATAACCAAATGTATAACCATTTTATAACCAATATATATAGCCATTCGAAAACCAAAACTCAAATTTTATTTCTATATGAGTGGTTTCTATTATAACGTTTTTCCTGCGCCTGTCAACTTAACAAAAGTGATATTATTTTATTTCGCATTTTGGGTGACAATTTACTTTTGATAAAAAAAATGTCTGCTGCTCTTTATTCATGTAATTTATGAATTCTCTTATGCATCATACCTAATATATTTTTTTTTTGTGATTGTGTACTTCTTCCAAGCGCTCAATGTTTTGTAGACATTACTAGCTTCAATCTTTATTTTTTTATTTTTTACTTTTAACACTCAGTTGTATTTAAATACCACCCGCATGGTTTCTATTGCCTTAAAAATATTTTAGTCATTGCATTTCGCAATCACCGCTAAAATTAAATTTATGGCTGTCTCGTATATAAATCATTTTAACTAAGTACACATATGAAAGTCACGTACTTACGTGTTTGAATGCCTGGAAATATTCGATAATAAAACAAAAAATATTGAATCACATACAAAAATCAATCATAAAATTCATTAACACTTGTTGGTCAAGCACAAAAAACCACAACAACAACAAAAATAAATATGCAATACACCAATAGATGGGTGGAAACAGTAAAAATATTGTACCTGCATTTCTGAGAAAATGAAAAAAAAAAAAATAAAAAAAAAAAGCTTTACAACTCACATACGACCTTGACTAAAGAAGAGCAAAACCAAATTAAATGAATGCTTTGAAATTTAAATTTTTAATTCAACATTGAAAAACTAAAATATTTCTCACACCAACCAACAAACGGAACGACATAAAATTTAATCAAATAAAGGTATAAAGATACCACGATGATTTTGCTATGCGCACATGTGTGTGTGACTATGTATATAAGTGTATAAGCGTTGAGTTGATGACCATCGTCATCGCTGTACGCAACCATGACAGCGCCATCAAAAGCGACCTATGACAACAAGTACGAAAATGAAACCAAATAGCAAAGAGTAACGTACAAAATATACCACATAAATGGAAAGTGAAAGAAGAGAGTTTATTTTTCATAAGGAACAGAGTGAAGCGTGCAGAAATGAAGACCTGTTGAGCGTAACATGACTCAAGCGCATGAATGAGTTCAGAGGAGAGCAGTAAAGCTGCATAGCTCACAAATATTTTGAACGAATCAACACCAAAAGCGTATAAATACATTAATATGTGAATTAAAAAAAGCAAAAAAGTGAAAAAACTGTTGGCACAAATATTATAAGAAATTATTATGCAATTTTTTTACGATGACGCACTGGCCAACAATATAACTCCCACAAAGTGGCTGCGTCTACAAGTTACAGGTATCGTTAAAAAGCGAGTAGTAGGAACGGTAAAATAAATATAATATAAAAAAAATATAGTGTATAAAAAACATTATAAAAATAAATAAAATATTTGTGTAATCTAAAAGAGTTACGAAAAGGAGTAACCAGCATGTTTAGTAGCGAATAATAGCTGTAACTCTAATAATAAAATAACTCCAAATTTTGAGTTTAACTACTCATACTAGTTATTTTACGCAAAAATTGTCTGCATAAATGGCAATAAAGGTTTATTGTCTTCTTTTATGTTTAAAATACCAAACACAAAGTAACAGTGAAGTACACATGGCAGTGCCATTCACATTTCTGTTGCGTATACGCAATGGCGTCGCTAATGCTATGTCTCCTGTATTCACACGCATTAAACTTCTGCAACAACAGATAAACTGAGACTCTATTCTCAATGATTCTACACGCTAATGGTTAACATACTAAATCCCAAACACAGTTTAGTAACAACCAAGTATGCTTAATTATTGCCTGCTGTTCATGGTTTAAAAATTTGTGTATATTTAAAATTAGCTTCCCCATAGACGCTCCATTCTATTTGTTATTTTTCTATTTGCTTTCTGAGACGAAGGCATAAGTAGCCTGTTTTTTTTGTCTCCTAGTCACTCTGTAAATTTATTTACAAACTTAAAAACAATTAAAAATTAGTTGCGTTTGAATGTTTGGCGCTAAAATTTTTAATTAGTTTCTAAACACCACATTCT